TGTTGTGATGAACCTATTAATAGTAATTGCTATTAATATTAATACACACTGGCTTTAAATAAGTTAGTGCTTGCTGATTACTTTAGCTAATTTTAATGCATTTTGAAATGAATATTTATACCTTTTATTTTTCCAGTAGCCACTCTCATTTCATGTAGCAGTGTTGGATGTTCTTCAAATGCTCTTATAAGAAGAGACATTCCTTCATGATCATTAACAGCATTTCTAATCTTTCTTATAGTATCAGCATCAAGCAGTGATAGAAACTCCTCCAGTTGTCCTTTGATCAATAACTCATGAAACTCTATCAATTCAGATACTTTTGGTCTATCATTTGGTATATCCATTAATGCAATAGGAGAGAGTGGAGGACCTCCTATCAATGGCTTGTTTCTACCTGTAGGAGGATAGAACATTAAAATAACTGTAGTAATTATCTCAATTGAAGTATTTCACAGTTATCATACTACATACCAACTTACTATAAATTTTACACAAAATTTAACAAATTAAATTTACATTACAAATTACACTCCTCCAACAATTTCTGAAAATACTAATTTTGTACATCTTGAGTCCAGTAATGTAACACTCACCAGTAGCAGTACTGTGTACATCATTGGTTCCTTTGATATCATTACCACTGATCATAGCATTACGTTCTATAGAATACACACACACAGTCAATACTAATACAATCAGTTAACTTACTCTCTTGATCTAACTTGCCAGCTGCAGCATTCTCATTCATAGATTTAAGAGCATCTGACAGTGAGTCAAAGGTAGCTCCTCCTTTACTGTCAACATTATCAGCTCTGGACAACCACTTGGAGAGACACTCTTTCAAGCATTGATATACATCACCAGGATGATTCCTTTCAATGGCATCCAGTGAGTCCATGAGTAGTCCTAGTGTCAGTCCTAGTTTCTTCCATCTTGTCTGAGGGAAACCACATCTCTTAAACAGATTAAGTACATCAATAAGTTGGTCTAAAATCATATTCAATGATACATAGATAGTTAATGAACATTACCACTAGTCAAAGGAGAAGAGAAGAGACTCAGAGAAGAGGAACAAGAACTGGTTTTAGTTGCCATTGATCAAAGAACAAGCTAACCGGATGCAGACTTTGCAAAGAAATGACAAGGGAGGGGCTGGTTTTGGGCGGGGCAATTATTGTTATTTTAACCCTTAATATGGCGGCATGGAACAGACAGATAATGATGAACTTTTCATACACAGGGAAGAGAGAAAGTTGATGTGATGAAAATGATAGAGTTACTAATGACAGCAAAGTAACAGATGAGGTAGTTAAAATGTACCTGTATATGTTTACCAGTACATGAATTTTAGTAAAATTGTGAATTACTGCATAATTATGAAATTGTGACCAGTGCCATTGAGCATTTAGCATAATAATCCTATTATATATTTATTTATTCATTTAACTATTTAACATGTTGACAGAATGTGATGGTGAATTATTATCAGTTAGTAGTATATTTATACTTTATTGTTCTCATCTCTGTCCTATCCTTTCTTTCATTTTCTCTCTCGTAGGAGCTTATAGCTTTAAAAGACTCTCATGTATTTAATGTAAGTAATGTAATGTAATCACCCCAAATTTTTATTACATTTTCTGATACATATTGGTGTACTTATGCTGTGTAGAAAGTTTAAGATGATTCTGACTTCAATTTTTCAAATTACGGCCATTTTAAGAAATTACCACAATTTCAAAAAATACCCAAGGTTATATAGCCCATGGTTTTTCTTTTTAAATGGCTCCGATATCAACTCAAATTTTTATTACATTTTCTAATACATATTAATGTCCTTATGCTGTGTAGAAAGTTTGAGCTGATTCCGACTTCAATTTTTCAAGTTACAGCCATTTTAAGAAATTGCCGTGATTTCGAAAATTACCCAAGGCTATAGCCCATGGTTTTTTCCAAAAAATGGCTCCGAAATCACCCCAAATTTTTATTACATTTTCTGATACATATTGATGTCCTTATGCTGTGTAGAAAGTTTGAGCTGATTCCGACTTCAATTTTTCAAGCTACGGCCATTTTAAGAAATTACCAAGATTCTGAAAAATACCCAAGGCTATATAGCCAATCATTTTTTTTAATGGCTCCGAAATTACCCCAAATTTTTATTACATTTTCTGATGCATATTGATGTCCTTGTGCTGTGTAGAAAGTTTGAGCTGATTCTGACTTCAATTTTTCAAGTTACGACCATTTTAAGAAATTGCTGCAATTTCAAAAATTACCCAAGGCTATAGCCCCATGGTTTTTTCTCTTAAACTAAATGTCACTTTATTTAATCTCTCTCTCTCTTCCTCATGTGTGATTGTGTTCTTGGCATGAGGAGCATGGTCAATCTAGCGGCACATACATTTTAAAATTATTTGTCAATTTAATAATTTCTAAAATAAACTACATGTAATATGTATAACTATGAAATAATTACACAAAGCCTAATTTGTTTTCAATTGTTTTATAATAAGGTAAAGAATAACAAGTTTGTTTATGTTTATTGTCTATGTCTAGTCTCCTTAGTGTATTATTGGTCCTGAGAGATTCCATCAGTACCAGTACTCCATCAGTATCAATGTTAGTACGGTAGAGCCAAAGGTAAGATAGTGTGTGGTTGTAGAGTAAAAGTTCAGCTAGTGACTGAGCACTGGTGGAAGTGATGTCAGGATTGTATTGAAGATATAAGCCAGTAATTGTTTTATTATTAATTAATGATTGTGTTAGTGCAATGACTCCATCATCATTAATGGAATCATCACTGATCTCTAGTCTCTTTAATGAAGTATTGTTTGTTAAGTTGTGTGACAGTAAGAGGATGACATCTTTTGTTATTTTAGTGTATCCTATACCAATCCACTTTATTGTTCTTATGTCAAGTGCTAGTGATATCAATAGGTATACAATATCAGGTGATGAGTAATGGAGACGAATTTCCTCATGATTGTCTGTTAATTGACTGATCACTTCCTGACATTGACCTGCTAATGGTTTAGTGAGGGTTACATCATACCAGGTCCACTTCACCTCTCCAGTCTCTTCTCCTAATAATAAACACAGTCAGTCAGTTAACTGATGTGTGTATATTATTATTTAATGCAGTTTAGTAGGTAAATGATAATATTATATTATTTTATTAATGATGTTTGTTTGTGTGTTGTTCCAGGTGATGCTGGTTTTGTACCAGTAAGTCATTACAGCTGCTAGGATGGAATGGGTGTGGTCTATCTTTGATCATGTGACAGTAAACAAAAATCAATTGTACGTTTTATTAATGTATTGGAATCAATAATTATTGTCCCCGAGGCTCTCTCTCTCATTTTCATTCTCATTCTCTTTTTATCATGCTCATTCTTTTTCTCTGATTCTCATTCCTTCTCATTTTCTCTCTTTCTCATTCTCAATTTCTCTCATTTTCATTCTCATTCCTATTCTCGTTCTCTCTCATTCTCGTTCTCCTATTCTCGTTCTCATTCTCTCTCATTCTCATGCTCATTTTCTTTCTCTGATCTCTCTCTCTCTCTCTCTCTCTCTCTCTCTCCCTCTCTCTCTCTTTATAGTCCTTGGTCCATCATACCAGCTAGTCAATTTCTTGTTAGATTATTTTACTGAGAACAACAACTGAACGAACAACAACTAAGTAACTGAAAAAAATCAATAAGAAGCTTGATACATATACATGAAACCACAGAGTCTACAAAGTTGTTAGTTACACAATGTTACATAATAATGTGCATGCATCAGCAATAATTAATGTGGTTACAGTAATAACACAGGTAGAAACCATACACAAGTACACCTGTACATGTACATGTACATTAAAGATAGACCATGAAAGTCTAGAGTTATACCAACATTTGCACAAGCTAATGTAAGCATATACCATATACATGTATCTGGTAATTATCTGTTTTGAATTTTTGTATTTAAATGATATTTCTCTCTTTTAATTCTTTCTCTTTTTAGAGTAGAAGATTCTATATCATAACTTACAATCATACTGACTATGATTTTTGGTAATTTTATTGTGTTTCTGCTTTTTTTTATAAAAAATTATTGTAAAACTTAATCACTGGTACTTTTATACAATGGGACATTAAAGTGTCTCTGTTATACAGAGGTGTCCTTTATGTGGAGGTTATTTTATACAGTAAGGAATGTAATTGGTACACTATAGTAGGGCCACACTGACTTTGCCATTTTAAATTTTGAATAACTTTCTTATTTTAAGTGCTATAAACGGCGGTGTTTCACTTTTGTGCAATGTTTGGATTTTGGGTTCCTTTGATATAAGATAATAGTAGAGCGAAGCTTGTCAAAGTGAAAGAAGAAAATCAAAGCACGAGGCCACTTAGCAAGTACTTACGCCATTACTACCACCTACGCTTCGTGAACACGTGGGCAGTAAGCTGACTGCAAGAAAAATGGCGGAGATTCAACAGCAGAGG